CCATATTATAACCTTCTTGAAGCACAACAGACCCAAACATGTGGATGCAACCAGAAAAAAGTAATGAATAAAAGAATTCACTAATGGGAAATACTTGGAAATAAATCATATCAAGAAGTACACAACTCATCAACTTATCATTGTTGTAACTGCCAACGACCAGTTAGAAAAATGATCACTTCATACTAAATAATTTTGAAGTAATCAACCCTGATAATGTAAAGAAATATTACGATAAAATACTACTCTGCAAAACATGTTACTACACCCAATTTGAAGAATTAGAGATTGATGATCCTAAAGCAAAAGAATATTATAAAAAAGAAGGAATTAATAAACTAACTGAATGCAACTTCTGTTGCAAATCAATTAGAAAAAGACAAGGTTACCAACTTTGGAACACAGGACAATATATATGTTGTCTAAAAGAAATGATAGTATTTATGGTCTATGCAAAATAACTAACAGACCAACATATCGAATTCATTAACGAATCTACTATAGAACAAGATATAGTATACACGCAAGCAAAAGCAACAATGAATCAAAAATTTACAGGCTAATTGCCTTAATAAAAGAAGAAGAAACTTTATTGAATAAAGAAGGAATCTCTAAACAATTCAATCGCAAAGCAACACTTTTACAAGAAAAAGAAAATAATACTATCCAAAAATAGCATATAACTTACTACAAATTAACAGAAATGATTATATCATCTTATGATGAATTAGATGATCAATTCAATGATAATGATATCATGATCAACCAAAATGTAGTCATGGAACCCGAAGAAATCAATAATGAAGAACAAGACCAAGTCAAAGCAGATATTGCTAACCAAAATCTCGATTACTAAATGACAAAAATTGGAAAAAAAACAGCACAATATACAATATATGATGAACGACAATTAGATATCAAAGAAAAAGAACTTTGCATAGAATGCAAATACCCTTATAATGAAAAAGAATTATGAAATGGATATTATAACGAATGTTACAAAGGAGCACCAAAATGTATTGGATACAAACAACCAACCCCTGTTGAAACATTAAAAAATGCAAAATGTACTATCTGCTTCCAAATAGAAGTAGAAAACCAAAGGAAACAAGAAAAAGTCAAATTCACGAAATTAAAAAAGAAGAATTTCTACCAAGTAAAAAACTTAAAGTAACTACTAAAATTGAAGAATTTAACTTTGAAAAAATCGAAAGAACAGAAATAGAACAAATGAAAACTGAAATTAATAACCTGAAAAAACTAACCCTTGAACAAAGTGAAAATATCAAATACCTCGCTAAAGCAATAAAAATTCATCAAGAAATAAATAATACACTTCACCTTGACAATATCGAATTAAAAAGAAAACTAGAAAAACATCGAGAACACAATTATCTAACAAAACTTAGACAAATAACAACTTGGAGAAACCAAGCTATAACTGAATACATAATATTAGGACAACAATATCTCGAAGAAAAATTTGATAAAATACATAAAGAATACCTTGCTAACCTTAGAAATAATAACTCACTCTAAAAAAATGAAAAATAAAAAACACCCTTGAAAAGCAAAAGGCACTTAAATAAACCAAAACTATTCAATAATTATTAATTTATCATTGTAACTTATAAATATTTACACTAAATACACTAGTCATATTCTATAATATATATATTATTAATCATATAAATAATTGAAAGAGAATTATAAATAACAAAGTATTATAAAAGCAACAGGAAAAACTTATAAAAGAAAGGCATTTTGACCTTGACTCAAACATGCCCAAACACTCTGATCATAAAAAACAAATATCGAAAACATAAGAAAGATATACAATTTGCAAATATTGCAAAGCTAAAGATCTATCTTGCGATAATAAAATACCCTGCACATTTTGTAAACTTAGTAATAAAAACTGTAAAAAGAACTACCGTACATCAGATAAAACCAAAGTACTTAGAAAAATATTTGACACAAAAATAAACTTGTTACATACAATTGAAGAAGCAAAGT